TTATAATCTGCATGAACTTCATTCAGTCTTTTATTTTGGCCCTAAGAAACTGATCCTACATGAGCAGAGTTAAAGGTTGCAGTTAAATCTGAGAAGCAGAATTAAATAAGTCAAAAATTTCAAACCCACCTTGCTGAAATGTTATTCGTATTTATTTTGAACTAACTGTACAATTAAATTAATTCTTTCTCTGTATCTCAGATCTTTCAGTTTCCTATTCAGTTCTTGAAGTTACTGGAAAGATTCCTACTAACTTCAGTAGGAATTCAACTAGCTTGAATAATCCTCTAAAGGAAAGAAAAATTCATGATAGAAATGTTCTTGCTCTTGTTACATGGTTTGTGTGAGTGAACTGGTGGTCAGCATCTAATGAAATCTATAATGGCTTTACCCATTACAGACATGCAATCACCATTAGCAGTAAGACTCAAAAAAGATAAAAATTAGAGGCTGAATTACAAATAGGATCATGATTTTATGAAAACAAAATGTAAAACATTTTAGGGAACACATTACATAATCTAGAACATTTATAATGGATTTTTGAGATGAAACCATGGAAAGTGATGTCAACATGTGGATTATCAAAAGAGTATAATTAAAATGCCTGCAAAATCCAAATTGTGTGTGGATTGTAGAAGCTTCACTAATAAATTGAGCTTTTGTTTAGTCCTCAGCTTAATGGATTTCTCTGTAATGCTTTTGTGATCTTGTATTACAGGTTAACGGAGGAGAAAAGCGGCCTGCTTCTGACTTGGGAAAGAAGCCCAAAACACCCAAAAAGAAGAAGAAGAAGGACCCTAATGAGCCACAGAAGCCTGTGTCTGCCTATGCATTATTTTTTCGAGACACCCAAGCAGCCATCAAGGGCCAAAACCCAAATGCTACCTTTGGTGAAGTCTCTAAAATTGTAGCATCAATGTGGGATGGCTTAGGAGAGGAACAAAAACAGGTACAAAGAAAGACAGCATGGAAGATGAATACTTTTATTTCAGAAATATATCCATGGACTTGTCATTTAAGCTCTCTGGGCAGATTGTTTACTGGTAAACACTTGAACCTGATTTTTAAGGGCATTGAGATAAGGAGAGTATCGCCTCATTTCATTTATTGGTGTATTATGCTGTTAGAACAAGTATTCATTTCCTTTGCTTAAGGATTGATATTATTACTTTTAGGACTTTGTGAGCCAAAGTAAGAGAACCTGACTTGTTTTCAATTTTTCTATACTGTAATGGAACAGGGGTGCCCTACTGTAAATTAAAATAACACCCAGTGTTATTTTCCTATTCTGTGCCAGTAATGGCATAGCAAAGATTAGAATCTTTTAAGGATTTTTAAAAATAATCTTCTTCAGTAGTTACTTCTTCATCTTTTGTTAGTATTATCTTTAATCCTTTTCTAACTTGACTAAAATCCTAGAATCTGCCTATCCCTAGCTAGATATAAGATAACCCAAATCCCAGTACCAAAATGTTCTTCAAATCCTTCCACAATATTCTTCCTTGTTATTTGAGACTATATGCTCAGGTCTTGCATTCTCTTTTTTTCTATGTACTGTCACTCCCTTCTGCAGAGAGTGAAAGACCTGGTGGGTTGTTCTGTATCTCATCTCTTGTGATGAGGTTTACAGGGACTGTGCTCAGGCCCTAAATACTTTGGGACTTCTTTGTTATCTGACAGTTCCATGGCACATGCATTTTCAGTACTGTACATGGAAAGTATTGTTTCTGTTTGTAAAAGGAAATATGTGTCAGTTCAGGAAATGTTTGATTCCTTATCTTTATATTTTACGGATTCCATTTGTGGGATATGAAGGGGCTTTTTTCATCATGCTCTTGAAAAAGACTTAGACTGATTGTAAGAGACAATCAGGCAGAATGTAAAGCAGTGTTAAAAGCTCCCTTTTGTATACATGGTAAAGTAACAATTTCCTCCACATCCTCAGCTCTGCACTTCCACCATCACCCGCCACCCTCCCGCTTCTAGGCCTATTGTGGTCTTTCTTACTTAAGTTCCATACAGCCAGGCTGATGTTAATATTGCTCCCAGTAAGCCCCTGTTTCTTTTGTGTGTCTATCTTAGAAATACAAGATTAAATGTTTTACTTAATCCATAAAACATGACAGAGCATATAGCATTGTGTTACAAAGATTCACCTAGGTTCATTGTTAAGCATGTGGATAAATCCCCAGCGCCTGCAGCTACCTAAGGGTGGGGAATCATAACTGTGCAGCAACGTCACACCCAGTGGTGTCTGAATACAACTATAATAATGGCCTCATATTTTACAAACCTATCAGAATATGCATGTTTATTTTTAAATGCACTATGATTCTGCCACTGAAGGGAAAGGATGGAACCCAGCTATAGAAAATAGGAAAGGGGTCTTCTCTCAGCCATTGTCATTAGTTATATCTGTATAGCAGTAGTGTCCAAGGTACATCCTAGTAAGTGTACAGAAGTTCGATATCCCAGAAAAAGCTGTTTTAGAAGCCATTTAACTCTGGCTGTTTCCTGGTTATTTTTCTTTTTGAAGCAGCCATTTTTGCTCTGGGAGAAAAATCCTGAATATTTGTGCACAGCAGCGGGTCTCCCAGTATAAAATAAAT